GGGCTGTGACACCCGGGCTGTGGCGCTCGGGCTGTGACACTTGGGCAGTGACACTCGGGCTGTGACACTCGGGCAGTGACACCCGGGCTGTGACACCCGGGCTGTGACACCCGAGCAGTGACACTCACCCGGGCAGTGACACTCGGGCTGTGACACCCGGGCTGTGACACTCGGGCTGTGACACCCGGGCTGTGCCAGGGACTGGTGCAAAGCAGCACAACCCGCCGGGCTGCCAACCCTGCCCCTGCCCTGCAGCTCTTCCTAGAGCAGAAAAGAACCTGTTTGTCAGTTCCTGATGTGTTCATGTACTTAAATATCTGTGTATATAACCAGAACCAGGTGTACAGACACTTGTGCTGCTCATCGTGCTGCACGGAGCAAAAAAAGATTTATTTTCATGTAAGCTGTAAAAATTGATACTTAGTCCTGAGACACTGTAGTGTCAAGTAAATTAATTTCATGTTCTAGCATGTAAACATGCAGGAAATCACGTCTCCAGCCTTATCTGTTCAAAATCCAATTTTGATTCCTGCCCTGAGTCTCTCACACCACGGCAGGGGGAGGAGCCCGGGAAGGCCCGGGCAGGCCGAGCTCTGGCTCATCCCTCCTGCTCCCTCCTGGGAGTTCTGCAGGCAGGTTAGACCTGGCAAGCAGGAACACCAGAGCTGTACATTTCATTCTGCTTTGGAGCAAAGAGCTGGACTAGGTGACCACGTGAGGTCTTTCCAGTTTTGCTTTCTGTTTCTGGGCATTTTTTTTTTTTTTCCAGGTGTAATTTGTCTGTTGATTCAGGCTGGGAAAAAAACCAACCAACCAACCCAGCAGGAAGCAGGGACACAAGGAGGTGTGTTCCCTGCCTCTCCCTGCTGGTGACTGTAGAGTTTGGAAGGTGACAGCCCCAGGTCTCCCAACAGGTCACAGGGGAGGGCAGGGAGCTGCTTCATCTGCCTCCTCAACCTTGGGTGGCTCAAGATTTTGGGCAGTCGGAGGGAATTCCTGCAGAAACAGCCCTGCCTGGCACCTTTCCACTCCTGCACCTCCTCCCTGCCTCACCTCTGCAATGGAGACCTCCAGAAGGCAGAACTAGAGCCCTTCCCACCTCCCCCAGGCTGGGGAAGGAGCCAGGAGACCCTTCCCAAAGCCTCCTACCCAGCAGAGCAAAAGCAGATCTCAAGTCCCCCCTCCAAGGTCCAGGGCTCGCCTGGGAGAGGCACCATCTCCTCCGGGGTCTGTCCCAGCTCCAAGGGGAGGTCTCAGGGGACAGGACTGTGACCCCAGCCCGTGCTGCACCAGCAGCCCCAGGCCCAGCTCCTCCCTCCAGCACCCTCAGTTCCATGTCCAACAGCAGTTCCAAGCTCCTGGCAGGCAGGGGGGGCCTCCCTCCCTCCCACACCCCCACAGAGGCTGCTTTCCCCCTCCCCACTACCCCGGTGTAGAGTTTGGAAGGTGACAGCCCCAGGTCTCCCAACAGGTCACAGGGGAGGACAGGGAGCTGCTTCATCTGCCTCCTCAACCTTGGGTGGCTCAAGATTTTGGGCAGTCGGAGGGAATTCCTGCAGAAACAGCCCTGCCTGGCACCTTTCCACTCCTGCACCTCCTCCCTGCCTCACCTCTGCAATGGAGACCTCCAGAAGGCAGAACTAGAGCCCTTCCCACCTCCCCCAGGCTGGGGAAGGAGCCAGGAGACCCTTCCCAAAGCCTCCTACCCAGCAGAGCAAAAGCAGATCTCAAGTCCCCCCTCCAAGGTCCAGGGCTCGCCTGGGAGAGGCACCATCTCCTCCGGGGTCTGTCCCAGCTCCAAGGGGAGGTCTCAGGGGACAGGACTGTGACCCCAGCCCGTGCTGCACCAGCAGCCCCAGGCCCAGCTCCTCCCTCCAGCACCCTCAGTTCCATGTCCAACAGCAGTTCCAAGCTCCTGGCAGGCAGGGGGGGCCTCCCTCCCTCCCACACCCCCACAGAGGCTGTTTCCCCCCTCCCCACTACCCTGGTGAGGAACCCAACTCCTCTGGCACTGCCCAAGTGTGAACCCATGTCCTCAGATAACAGCTAATTAAAGCATTTTAATGCTTTAAAAGCCCTGAAACAACCACTCACGTTTTCAATGTTAACTGAGGCTTCTCCCAGCAGTGTTACCTGATCCACTCCCACCATGGCATGAATGGCAGTTTTTGTAATGTTATCTTTGTTATCTTTGGGAAATGTGTTATTTTTATAGCTGTGGTTTCCACCTTTTTTTTTTTTTTTTTGGTAACACAATAAAAGCACATGGGGGAATTACAACCCCTGGCAACTAAACTCTTGCTCATATTGCACAGAAAGTGTCCTCCTGTACCAGGATAAGCATTAGGCTGTAGGAGCTGGGAGGGCCTGGAGCTGTTTTGCTCCACCAAGCAAGAGCTAAGCTACAAAGAGACACAGCTCTGTGCAAGGAGCAGCTGCCAAGGCACCAGGGCTGTGACAAGGTCCTTGGCTCCTCACAGGCATCAGGACAACCTGGTGACAGCTCTGGGGGACGTGCCCTCTGCAAAGAGCCAGCCCTAAAACCCCACCACAACAAAAACAAACCTGCTTTAAAAACTGCTACAGTGGTTACATTCAGAGAGGCAAACATCTCCTTCCTCACAGGTAACACATTCCCCCAGTAAATGATTAGAAAATAGAGAATTAAATTGATAGCAATCTTTATAGTTAAGACACAGCTTTTCTGAGTCTGAAAAATTACAGCAGTAGAAACAATTTCCACGAGAGAATTGTCTTCAGTTATAAATGTCACCATTATTTCTAGTTTTAGTAATATATATTGCATATGTAGGAATTGGAAATTGATTGAACTAAAGGATCTGGCAAGAAGTGTCATTTATAAACTAACACTCAAGGCAAGAACATATTTTAATACAATAAAAAAAGCTTTCAAAAGATCTTGAAAACTGGCATGTGAGAAATTGACAAGAATAGTCAAATCTATACATCTGCAATGAGCTCAACACTAGAATCTAAAGGTAGAAAGAACCTGGTTTGAAAGCAGACTTGCCTGTTGTGGAAGGCACTACCTTTTCCTGTGGTGTAAATTCCAAACCTGCTACGCTATCAAAAAATACCTTCAAAACACATGATCAGATGCTCTTCTGCACTCGAAAGAACATTATTATTAGTTCCATTTTGCTACGAAAATGTTAACATACAACATTTGCATGTAAGTAAGGAAAACATCAGCCTTCTGACAGCTCCTGGCTGCTGTGCAGGGAACCCAGCCATGGCTCAGCCAGGGTGACCAACCCACCTGGCTCTGCCACAGCCCCTGGACAAGCTCACCCCTTGCCTGCTCAACACCCCTTGAACAATCCAGTGTCTAGTACTGAAATGTGAGTTG